CATTCAATCTTTCAATAAACGGTTGTGATTAATCATGATAAAAACTTATTTTTAAAAATTTAAAATTTCATAAAGATAAGAAAACAAAGTTGAAAAGGGTATTTAGGTAAAAAAATTTATGTAACTCCCATATCATTAATTGGGAGTTACAAAATCAAAAAATTATATGATTTTTGTTAATGTAAGAACCATATGAAGACAACTATATACATATGAACCATTGTGTCAAATACGAACAAAAAATTGACATATATATGAAATTGGATTGTATATCATTTATGAACACAACATGAACATAATAAGAATAATTGCTATACGAAAGAAAATAAATAAAAAAAATAAGTATGAACACGATATGAACAGCTTGTAGTTCCTTCATTATAAACACATTCAGGAGCGATCTTTTGTAAATTGAAGTTTTATACATGCATTGCATCCACGCCATTTAAGGTCCACCCCTTGTTCATATATGTTTCTGGTCTTATGTGGTTGTTCACCCCTTGTTCATATCGTGTTCACCCCTTGTTCATATCGTATAAAATATATGAACACATAACCCCGACGCTAAGAACACCGGGTTCAAACACTTACACAAATATAAAGATTTGATATCAAGCTTAAAAAATAACACTTGTGTTCWTATGATAGAAGTAACATGAACACAATGATTCATGATTCATAAAAGTCGGTAATATGACAATATAAAAATGAGTCGTGCATGTACTTCCATTTGAACATGTGAATTATGTATGTATTAATAATTAAAGAAAAAAAGTTATCAACGGAATATGAACTACAAAAAACATAACACATCATAATGAACATAATTTCGATTAAAACGAGTCTAATAAAATATTAATCAATTACTAAGACATTCGCTTTGGTTAATTTAATCACTTCCCGAACTCGAACTCCGATTGTCATCATAAACCATTTTAATCTTCTCAATGTTGTCGATTTTTTTTTCCAATGCGTTTATCCATAATAGCTTGAACGATACCGATGATTTTACTACCGTGTTTCCTTCACGAATCAAAAAATCATAAAACAATAAAAATGGAAGATCAAGATTAAAAAATAAATAAAAATATCAATATTATAAATGCATATTTTTAGAAATTTTTTAGGGATTTTATGATTTTGTAACTCCCATTTAATGGTATGGGAGTTACATAGCAAATGAAATAACTCAATTACCCTTGATATTAAATTGTGAACATGATAAAAATCTAAAAGAAGAATGAATTGTGATTGGTTGACATGGTTTGCAAAGTTAACACAAAAACTTTGGTTAACATTTGATCTTGTCCATATATATATATATGGGGAGGTTTAAACGAGAACCCTGTGATTTACGAGAAAGCGAGAACAATCCAATAACCTCAAACTTTTTTAATTAATAAATTAACTTATATTAAATATAAATAAATTAATAAGGCAGTAATGTAATTAATTAATTTTTATTTTATTTTAATTAATTATAATTATCTTTTTTTTTCTTGGATTGATCACGTTCGTTTTCACTCTCTTCTCTTTTCTTGTGATAATTGTGTGATTGTGTAACCATAACTTATAGAAATCATGATCAATCGAGTGTAACCATAACCTATCGAAACCATGAGTAATCGTTGCGATAAATGTGTGATTGTCTAACCCTAAACGATCGAAACCATGATCAAATCGAATGCGCTGTTATAATA